AAAATACGGTGCAGAGTAATGCGCTTGGAATTTCAGGCATGACAGAAATGAATGCTGATGCATTGGCTATCTATGCGAGTCGTGCCATTTTGCTACGACTGCAACAGCTTGTGGTCTCACATTGCTTGGCATTTTTTATTATTTCTTTGTATCTCTTTTTTCCATTGCTGCGCCTGATTACGTCAATTATCTGCAGAGAGACTGACCAGTCAGTGATTCAGTTTGGATGGCATTCCCCTACAGTTTGTCCCTCAATGGCATCTCTGTTAAGTCAAGACAGTGACACTGTGGCCCTATGCCTCTGTATGCATCACACTTGTGTGTATGTGTGTGTGTGTGTGCGTGAGGCAGACAGCTGCTGCCACACTTCGAGGGGCCTCTTCAATTTTGTCCCACCCTGTCCCCACTCCCTCTCCCTCCTTATACACAAACATTCATTTGACGTACTACTTCTGGAGCTGAATGACTTTTCGGGATGTGGACTCGATCTTAAATATCTGTAGAAGTGTAAGGGACTTTTGCAAAAGGGTCAGTTTGGATGCCTGCAGGATTTAAAGGTGACCAGCTGTGGCCGTTGTTCTTTGGGAAACGGAGCATCTCATGTGCGCTTCTCCTCAGATCAGTCTTCATCTAAGAGTCTTTGGCTTTATGTGCTCTTACAGGCTTACTGACATTAAACAAAATGGAACAGGCACTTACCACAAGTGGCTAAACACTACACTCTCTGTGCCTGCACTGGATTCAGGAGCTGGGACTCAAGGTAGGATTGATGCATTACAAAACCAGAGCAGGATGGCCGGATTGGTGTCATGTGGGAGTGTTTTTGTCTGAAATGAGTACATCTTACTGTACTGACAAATGCGAGTGTGTCGGTTAGATACCAGTGTTGTGTTTAGGTGAGAGAGAGACAGAGTTAGTGCACAAATGGGAGAGGGATGTTTATGGCTCACTCGACTTGGCCACTTTCCTCCAAAATGAAGACATTGCTTCTCCAAAATGAAACAAGTTTGATATTTCTATCCCCTTCAGATTTCTCTACTTCAGCTGCCAGAATCAGAAGCTGTTTCTAATATAAGTCCATTCTAATATATGTCCAAGATACAAAATTAATAAATAATAATAATACCAATAAAAAAGAAAAATCTAGTTTAAAATGCATGTGCCAAGTTTTAGAAATGTAATCTTTGTATTCATGTGGTTTCAAATGTAATGATTTTTTTTGTATGGTTTCATTTTTTTTTATTGAATCACTCTAAAAATGTCATATGATGTAATTTTTCTGTCAAAATTTATATGATTTCCCATACACCTTAAATACATGCAAGTGTAGACATCTTAATCATTATTTAAAAAAATTTTTTTTATAAAAAATTCTATGTAAATATGTCATTATTAATTCAGTTTTTAGAGATTGTACCACTTTAGACATTTTAAAACCTGAACTAACCTTGCCATGTTATAAGGAGGTAAAATTATCATATATTTTTTAAGACTTATTGACATTGACACTCAGTCATGATGGTCTACAGGGATCCGCTCTGATATAATTTTCAGTTTTTTGTTTCTCTACAATGTTTCATGTTTCTCTACAATGTTTGCACCACATGATTTTGTTGGTCGCATCATGTCACTTGATTTGGCAGACAAAGGTTTTTCAAATGTTTAGAATATTTATAATAAACCTGTTAATATGGCACCTGTTTTTTATTAGAAATAATAATAGTAACAATATGCCAAAGAACCCAAGGTTTTCTTTTCAAGAATGTAATCCTTTTAATGAGTTTTTCTTTATTATGATATCAGGACAGTTCTTGACACTACCTTGATTTATTATTATTATTATTATTTTAAATATCTAAATGAATCATAAAAATGTTTACGCGAGGTGTATTCAAGCCTTTTTATCTATGACTTGAACTTTTGTATGGTTGAATTTATATATA